CAAGATGCATTTAAAATTTGTTATTTTATAACAACAATAATGCTTTTGTTTAATTTAAAATCTCGATATAAAATAATTTATTAATAGATTTCTTATTGTAAATTCTCCGTACTAAACAAAATCCTTATAACTTATATAAAAATAAAATAAATTAGATATAAATAAATATTTTACTGCAAATGTATTTAATTTAAACATGACTGAAGAATAATAAAGGTTTTTAGTATGCACCTAATTAGAATATATTTATGAAATTTTGTAATTAACTTTTTTCAATCATTGTTGTTTCTAATATATTTTATTACTATGAAAATCAGTATGTAATAGATAAATTATGATTAATAATTTTGAACATTTAATATCATCATATATATTAATCTCACACTATAATTTTTGTGAGAATTTAGAAAATTACTTAATAGTGCTAATTTTTATTTTAATAATAGTAAAGGATTTAAATTATAAATAAATTTCTAATGATTGAAGTTTATTATATAAAAAATCACCATTTATTTAAAAAGCTTGTCTATAATCACCATTTTAAGTCATACAGATTTCATGTGACTTAAAATAATTCAAAGTGATAATTCAAAGTGAATATTTATTTAGTTGTGATCATAAAGATATACTTAATATGTTTGTTGTCTATACAGATAGTTAGATCATCCTATGAGAAATATAAAAATAATTATTATCATCCTATGATAATAATTAATTTTTCGGTTTAGCATTTTAATATAATTCTCCTTTATATATCTCTTCTCATTTTCTTTCCAAAATTTGTAGTGGATTATTCTAAGCTTCTTCCCTTTGATGTGAGAAGAGCGTATTCAATTATGTATCTTTTCTTTTTCTTTCCTTTCTACCCCATGCTTTAATTTTCTTACCAACATATTAGTTAGACATCATATATATATATATAAAAGGAATAATGATAATGTTGTCATCTGATGGTTCCAATGCTCAACATCTTAAGCAACACGCAACCCAAAACCGATATTTTAAGCTAAAGAAAATTTTCTTTGACACTTTTAAAATCGAATCAAATCTCATTATATTCATAAAGATCAACCCCTTCAACCAACAATATCTTCACTAAGCAAACAATCCAAGAGATTAAAGAATGAAAACCATTCTATATTTACGAAAATAAAAAAGTATTTTGTGCATAAAATTTTTTACCCTTTAAATTTGTGCCTTAGGAAAATTGTAAGGAGAGTTTCTTTAAAGTGAACTAATTTTAAAAGAAAATAAAAAAACATTAACTTTTATTTATAAAGTTTCAAAATTGATCTTAAACAAAATTCAAGCCTAGTGTAGTTTTGCTTTTTGCTTTTTTGAAAGTATGCAATAGTAATGTTTTACTTTACCAATAGAAATATCCATCCCATAATGTTTTTCTTTTTTTGAGGGTCAAGTCATTTTCTACTCCAATTCTTGTGCCGGACGTCACATTCCACAAATATATTCACGCCATTGCCCTTCATCATTTCATCCAGCCACTGGCATGCAATGGGATACAGGGAGTCAATCATTCATTGTATTCAGGATAAAGATTATGTGTTTTACAATCATACCAAACTCTCCACATAACTTTATCCTGTTCTTGGACCCAACTCAGACCCGTTATGCGTTATCTTCTTCCTTCTTGCCTCCCCCACTAGCCACCCAAAATATATTCCCTGCAAAAACAAACAATTATTTAATATCAAATCACCAACCATTAAAACAACATAAATATAAATAAACTCATAACGGAAAAACATTAATACGTATAAAAATACGTATTCACTCCAACCAAGAAAACGCACTGAAAAGAGGAGAGAAAACAAGCAGTTTCAAAATAGACCCAGTTGATAAAAAACACAAGGCTGAGACGAAGAAGTGACAAGCGAATACCACGGAAAAGTTTATGACAAACGTCACGTCACGGGAAGTGTTAAAAACTTTTACAAAAAAAAAAAAAAACAGAATCTATACTGAACCGGAAAAAATAAATTAAAAGACAAAACAGGATTGCTGTGAACCAAAGTTTAGACTGGATCCAGTATTCAGTTTCAATTTAGGATTGGTTGTTTGTTTTAAATTTTGAATCAAAACCATTTTCCTCAAAATTAGGTCCAGAAGCTCCACGAATGGCCATCAATGGCTGCAACTGATTAATATAAGTTCTGTATTATGTACACAGATACACACGCACACAGACCAAACACATAATCAATTTTCGTTAGATTTTGAAATCCGTCAGATCCCAAGCCAGCGCGACAGGATCCGTCGCCGCTGCCGTCGTGGCCCGGAATAATGAAGGTAGACAAAACCAAAGCGACGTTCGATTCAAAGGTCCTCTGCTTTGGTCATGACGGAGAGCCTGCTCGGCCTCGGATGAAAGTCTCCACGCCGTCTCTGCTGGTGCGAGGAAGGTCGAATCAACGCTGCGAGAGCTCGTTTGACGAGATCTCCCTCCACTCCGCGAATTCTCACGAGCGAGTTCGTCATCGCCGATCTGCGCGCGTTGAGGCGATTCGGGGAGTACGGCGCCGGCGCGTGGCTCTTCTTGTGCAGGCTGCAGCGGAAGGAGCCAGGGTGCGTCGTAGGCGAGCACATGCACGTCCGCTTCGGCTGGTGCGGGTTAATACTCCCCTGTCTGGACGCGGCGGCTCGCGGCGCAACCGCGATGGAGCGGTTCGGAGAGACGGAGCGGTGGTCGAGAGAGAAGCGCACGGAGGGAGCGGAGGAACCGCAGAGGTTGACACGAGTGGGGGAGGAAGAGCGGTTAAAAAAGGTGGTCGAAGGAGAAGAGAAGCTGGAAGTGGAAGATGCAAAACCTGAGGGTGACGAAGAGGAGGAGGAAGAAGCAGTGTGAGAGCGAAAGTGAGAGTTGTAGAATCTAGGAGTGGATGAGAGGGATCCAATTACTGCGTTTCTTGATTTTCTAGAAGCTGCCGCCATTTTTTCTCTTTCAGAGGAAAGGAAAGTGAAGAAGTGTGGGAGTTTTTTTTTTTTTTCTCCCTAAAGGCCGGGTTCGGCTCTTCGGTTTGGCAAACCTAGCTTTACTCGAGGCATGTATATATAGAATTTTGAAGAAGAGCAATGGGTTTGTTTGGCGTAGGCAAAGATCGACGAAATTTTCAGTTTGGGATGTGAACTTTGTGTAATTGTGTTGTAGTCCCTGATTGTTCTTTTGTTTAGTTGCGCGTGTGGTGGTAAGTGGGGAGATTTTGAATTGAAAAGACAGGAGAAGGATGGAACAGCAAAAGAGAAGAATAGTGTAGAAGAGCGGTTAACCAAAAGTGGTTGGGGTTGGGTTAGTTAACCAAAAGTGTAGAGGAGCCCTCGGAATTGCAATGGAACCGCTTGAAGTTTGAGAAAGCTATGGGCAGCAGTGGGCATAATAATAAAAGACGACAAAAAAATATTGAACCGTTTTAATTCCACTGACACGTCTCCTAATTCTCTATCCTTCTCCCACGTACTGCTCTCACTTGTAAGTCACTAAACTACCCTTCTCATTCTTTTTTTATTCCAACACAACACAACCCTTCTTTTTTCCTTTACTAGTATTTTTATCTGTCAACGCCAACGCCTCTATCATTTTTTAAACAACCAAATTTTATTTTTATTATCATTCAAAATAAATTATAAATTAAAAATAAATATGATTTAAAATAAGAGATATTAACTTAACATATAAGTGTATTGTAATTTTAAACTTTATATAATTATTATTTTCAATATTTTATTATTTAATTTATTATCAGTTTATTAATGATGTCAGTATTTAATTATTTATTTATTATTTTATGTAATATTTTAAATTTTATTGTTATGTGGAAGTTGTTAAGAAATATTGAAAAAGTTCATAAAATAACCTTCATTTTACAAATTTTTTATTTTGAATTTTACATGCAAATTCTGTTATTACGGTATTTTGTAATTTTAAATTTCAAATGTAAGTTTGGTTATTATATTTTAAATTTTAATCTTTTCGTTGATAATATGAATTTAAATTTTAGAAAAATAAAATAAAATAGTTAGTTATATTTAGTTAAGAGTAATTATTAATAAAAAATATTCTTTAATTATTTGAAGAATATTAACAAAGAATTAATTAAGGAAAATTATACTTTTATTAAAATAAACAGCAACACAAAAATAATAATGGAAACATTTATTATTAGAAAGTGTATGTTTTAATGACATTTTAATGTAAATATTTGATAAGACTTTATAGAAATTTTAAAAAATAATTTATAATCTGATACACTTTTAAAAATTAATAACTATCTATTTAAGTTAATCTTAATGTACGTCTATTATCACTATATGATAATACTATTACTCGAATTGCAATTTTGTATACTATACCAAGTAGAAAACTTTGATTTGTTCCCAAATATGGATGTCTCTTTGACCCCCATTTTGATCAAAATGAATATTATTTAGCATCATAAAGTACGATTTTTGGATTTGATGTTGTGTATTATTTTTGTTCCTTGTTTTTATATGTTTTAAAGATTATCATTCGTAATAGATTACTATTATAACTTTTTATTACAATAAATTATTATCTCTTTGTGTAAATTATTTAGAAGTTATTAATTGTAAGGACTAAAATATAATAGAAAAAAAATACCAACATGTTATCGAAATTCTAAAACCAAAAATGGAAATGTACATTGTTTTTTTCTAAAATCGAGACAGATAAATAGGAAAAAAGTGTGAGGAGATTAATAAGCAAATTATTCCTTTTTTTTCTTTCTATTATTGTTGTATTTTTAAAACATTTTTTTTGTTTATATTTGATTGGTACTTTTAAAGTTTAAAATAAAAGTAAACATTTTTTGTTATCTGTACTTTATTTTTCATATATAAGTTTTAATTGGTTTATAAGTAATTTTTATCATATATATATCTATAGCTAAATATCAAAATGTCAAACAACAATTTTTGAAAGACTTTTTACTTAATAGGTTGGGGCTGCTACTGTTATAATTAAGTAGATAAGAAAGAATCCCATCATGATTCTTATTAGAGTGATTAAGTCATTTTGTAACGGAATTATTAATAATCTCTTACCAAAAATTAAGGGTTCAACAGAACCCAAAAGGAAAATAGGTGAATAAGTTGTTTTTTTATATTTAAGATTTTCTCCTAAAAAAAATCTAAAGAAAATTTATTTATGAACACAAGATAACTTTAATATGAGAAACCTGTTCTAACACACTTAAATTTTGAACTAAAACATTTTTAAAAAAATATTTAATAGTTTTTTTTTCTCTATATATCTATAACAATAATTGAATGATTTTTCTCTGCTTATTTTTTTCTTAATATGATCCTTTTTGCTATATCAGATTAGGGTTACAGTCATTTAAAAGATGACGAGCCGATATATGTTAATACAATCATTTACTTATTTTATATTTTTATTTTTCAATCTCAAGAACAAAATAAGAAAAATATCATTATTATGATGTAACAAAAATACAACATCGAGTCTTTTAGAAAAATATAGAAATCACGTTTAGTTAAATATAAATAAAAAATTACATAATTACTATAAATATAGGAAAAAAATACTATTGAATCAATACAAAATGTAAAATATTTTATATAAAAAGAATTGTTTATTAAGTGCTGTAAATTTGTGTGGCTTTTCCAAAAGAATAACGTCGTTAAAAAAATTAAATGAAATCAAACTTTTTCTACTTGTGTGATTTGATTTTTATCTATATTTATATTTGTAAACTAGCCACTGAACAGTTTTTATTGGTTTAGGGTCCGAAAAAAAAAATCTATGGTATACATATTTAACGTGATTTATTTATCCTAAAAAAATTAATGTTATTTTTCTATTTTTCCATTTCAAAATTGAATAATGTTAAGATGATAATCTTAGGAATAAAATTGCACTTGGTTTCGGAACATTCTTCACCAGTTATCGGCTTTCATGAATCTTAGGAGCCATTGCATGAATTTTGTCTATCATACTTTGAGTCAATGATTATTTATGCTGCGTTTATTCATTTTGAATTCCAATAAGAAAAATAAAAACATTGATTTATAACATCGTCCAAGCCGAACAAGGAGAGGAAAACTTGCTAATTAAGGATGTTACGTTTGTAGATATCCTTATTCCTAAAAATCTACATCACTGTCTTGATTTTCTTTAGTGAAATTTCCTCCATTTTAAATGGACATCTTGTGTGGAGTTCTGAATTTTGGATCGAATCGAACTTCCAAGAATTAATTCGACCGATCGAAATAGCCATATGTTTGAACAATCCTTAGCACATAAACCAAACCAGAGGACCCTCTCTAGGCAAAATCAAACCTCATCCACTAAAATAGGGTTTTGATATAGTTGACACATGGGTCATGGGTACTCTTATTTATGAATGTTGTTGATCACTATGCAAATTGCTGAAAGCCATGTTGGAGTTGGCTAAAGAGGGAGAAATTATATATATTCATATATCAACTCTAGCCAGCTTCATCACACTTCCTTCCACTCATATCTTGTGCCCTATTCTTCATTTTGGAACATTCTCAAATAAAAACCAAACAAAAATACTATATAAAAACGACAACTCCTGAATACCGAGGCCTCCTATTAATGTGGTTGGCTTTCAACTGTCACATTACGCCTTTATTAGCCAAACAACCAAGATATAAAATTAGGTCAGTTTTTAGTTTTGAGTATGAAAATGCCGTGAAACAAAACATTATAAAATAAAGGTTTAATCTTTTTCGACATCCCTATTTATGTACGAATGTCTCAGATGGGTCATCGTTTTCTAAAGTGTATCAAAATGGTCCTTAATTTTGAAAATTGATATCAATTGAATCCTTCCCGTTAAGTTGGCTGGACGGCGTTAAAAAAATTGATGAGTGGATGCTGAGATGACGAACGAACGCTCGTCCACCAGCGAACGTACGCTCGTCCATCAGCGAACGAACGCTCGTCGACCACCGAACGAACGGTCGTCCAGTGTGGAACGAACGGTCGTCCAGCAGTAAGAGGTCGACGAGCGTTCGTTCTCTGGTGGACAAGCATTCGTTCGCTGGTGGACGAGCGTTCGTTCGTTGGTGGACGAGCGTTCGTTCGTTGGTGGACGAGCGTTCGTTCGTCATCTCAGCATCCACTCATCAATTTTTTTAACGCCGTCGAGCCAACTTAACGGAAAGGACTCAATTGATATCAATTTTCAAAATTAAGGACCATTTTGATACACTTTAAAAAACGAGTACCCATCTGAGACATTCGTACATAAATAGGGATGTCGGAAAGAATTAAACCTAAAATAAAACACATGTTACTTGATATGTTCAAAGACGTCATACACTCGTACAAGACATAATATAGTTAATGGTTTAATTTAAAAGGAAATTAAACTATTAATAATAATATTATTTAAGCACTTTCTTATCCAGAAATTTTTAAAATTCAAACACGATTCGTTGGACATGTCCAAGATCATTTAATCGTGTGATAAATGAGACGCTTTAATTATCTTCCGTGTTCGAATTGGAAAATAAGGTTAGTGTTCTGCTTTGATATAGACATTGAGAAACGTAGTGAATTATGAAAAACAAAAACCATTATCTTAAACAACACGATCTGTAACAGTTAGAGAGGGTCAACGCTTATCTGAAAACACACAGTATTATCGATCTACGGCATCCGTGACACTGCAAATCTTCATCATTCGTGTTGTTATAGTATTTTACCAGAACACAGTTCAAACCGTGTGCTTTCGCAAATCAGTGTTGGTACCATGTCAAACATTTACTTCACTAGTGTTACATTTTGAAGAATTTTCCTTAATTATGTAAAAGGTTATTTGATGAGACATTCGATTCTATCATGTCTTTTCACTCCAAAAGTATATGGTACGGGGAAGACAAAGTCGCGAAACCCATCTTGTTTGTCTGAAGGAAGCATGAAACGAAAGAATGCTTATTTGTTCAATACAACATTGATTAACGCGTAGAAATGTCTACAACAATTACCAGCAAGCACGGATTAATTCAACGAATCAGAAGGCAGAGATTTGAGTTTTGTGTAAGATTCGCAGCATTAGTATGAACATGCACCATCACTGCTCATTAATAGTTACGCGTAGTAAATTAGAAAAATGTAGCATCGATGTTTCGGAGATGATTTCGCTTTAATAATTTTTTTTCATTGCCTTGTTTATGTAAATCGTATAATTATTATATTAAGATATTGTGTGGTAGCTAATTGATGAGAAGAATTTTGAAATGTTGGAAAGAAGGTTGAAATGATAAACGAGATAGAATCGTGTGGTTTTGTTTTCAACAATGGTGGCGTGGAGTGGCAGAAGCAAGAAATTGGGAACTTCTTGGGTCCAATTATTGGCGTAAAGAGATATGTTGCGGCTAGCAGTTATCTTTTCCCAGCTCTCTAGGTCAACTTGCTTTGGCTTATCGTACTCATTTCCAAATTTTTCTCTCATTTATCAATAATAATTTTATGATACATTTTTACATTAATTTAACATGATAAAATAATTATAAAATTATAAACTTTTATATCATCACTTTTATATTGTTTAAAAAAAAGAAATGAATAAAGACAGTGTTAAATAAAAACTTTATTAGATTAGTTAAAAAATCATTATTCTTTCTGCTATAATAAACTTTCATATATATTTTTAGTTTTAGAAATCTCAATTGTTTTAATTTGACTCTTTTTTCTCATCTTCCCCATTTCTCTTTTTTTTTAATTTCTTTGGAAATTGGAATATAAAATTTAATTCTACTTGTTTTTTCATAAAAAAAAACAAATAGTTAGTGCATTATAACTAATGAAAAATAATTAAGCAAATTAATAATAATATTATTAAATTTAGAAGTACGTGTAAAATTAAATTATTTAATTAAATGACATTTTTTTATCGCTTTGGTGGTATCAATTTTTCGTTTATAAATTTACGTGTTGATCACGGTCAAGATGTGAAAGAAAGATAATTATTAAAATAAATAACTATTTTTAGTTTAAAATTATTTCAATACCTTCGTTCACCGCTTTCCTACACTCTTGTACCCATTAATTGAACTTATTTCTCAACCACGAGTCTAATCAAGTTAATATACTTTAATTGTCTAATTGTGAAACTTGTTGAAACATTTGAAAGTCTCTCATTCCAGTTAAAAAAAGGTTAAAAAAATGTCCTTTTCATTTTACAATGACTCTTTTATACACTAAAGATGTTGAATGTGTTTGTACGTGTACTAATATTTTAACCTGTATTAATAAATGAACTAATTTACATTACTTAACTTCGATGTTCTCAATCCAGTGTTAAAATCAAAACCTCCTTTTACCCTACTCATTCACAATCTCAGTTATATATGGAAATTTATTTCAAATGGAAATAAATTAGCACTCAGTGCAAGTTGGCATAGATATTATATATATAATAGTTATATACCAAAGTCCTTGATCTTATCTAATTTTTGTAAAAAACAATGGCCTGCATCTGCTTCTGTTTGATTTAGATGTGAATATATTTGGATTTAACGACCGTCCCTAGAAGTGACGTCTATTCTGTGTGGAAGAAAGTGAATTAGGTTTCAAGTTTCTCACCAATAATGTTAGCTCATCAGTCCAATTTAATATACTAATCATGATCTTATCCACCATCACATTACCAACATAAACATATTCAATATTAAAATAAAATCCGTAGTCAATGTTGGGTTGTGTTCTGTTTCTTTATGCTCTGCTTTCGTTTTTGTTTTCTTAACTAGGATTCTTCGTTTATTGAATGAGAGTGAGATTTCTGAGGGAAAGGATTTTTACCACATCCAATTCTTTCACAATTAAAATCAAAACTTAAAATAATTTAAATATTTATTTTTCTCATCCACTTAGTAAAAAATCGTGATAAATAAAATTTTAAATTAAATAATACTTTAAATTTACTAATATTTTAAATCTACGATGAGAAGCAGAAGAAAATAGAAAGAATGATATTATTATGTGCAAGTTGATAACACAAAATCTAGTAGAGTATTGCTTCCGTTACAAAGAGAACAGAGAATAAAGAATGTGGTATATACAGTTACATAAATTACAGAATCACAGACGACAGGACGACCAAAACCTTCATTAAAAATGTTACATATGCGTCAGAGGAAACCAAAACGGGAGCAATGTGATCAGCTAACCGCAACCGCAGCGGTGTCGGCGTTCATGAGGGAAAACCTAGTTGGCCTTGGTTGGAAACTCTTCCTCTTGTGAAGGTCGTGGCTGGAGGGCCTGAGCATTTGCAACAGAACAGCCTTCAAGGAGTTGGCTTTTGCAGCCATGGAAAGGTCCCAATGGTTAGGGGTCCGAGGCAAGGATCGAGCCATGGCTCGGGGTGGCTTCTTGTGCTTGGTGCAGCGGAAGGAGCCAGGGTGCGTGGAGGGTGAGCAGGAGCAGGTGCGCGTGATCTGGTTGGGGTGGGAATGTTGGGACCTTGATGATGATGATGATGATGTGAAGACAGTCTTTGATGCCATTGAAGAAAGGGAAGAAAAAATAAAGAAAGTTAGGAATGGTTTTAAGGGCAGAGAAAGAGGGAGAGTGATTTATGGCCTTGTGTTTGGGTGGAGATTCTTCTCCTTCACCAGTTTTATAGGGCAACCACTCGCCTTGGAAGGACAATTCGGTCTTTCTCTCGACCTTCTCTTCTCATGCAACCATTCTTCCTCATCAATGTTTAAATCATATTACAAGGTTAAGGTGGTTGTAAATTACAACCTTATCAAATGTAATTACAACTATGGATATGTCTTCATCTCAAATCATTATGTAATGTTTTGTTACATAACAAAATATTATTAACAAGTTTCAATGTTCGGCCAACAGATTTCATTTCTCATATTTTTGGTACATAATTATTTTTATTATGTTTAAAGAATTAAAATTTAACGAGATATTATTTTTAATGGCTTATCGTGAAAGTTGCTGTTTTAAATAAATAAATAGTATATTGTATTGTATTGTATTACCTCATAATAAAATGTAGTTTATAAGAGAGATATTTTTGGAAGGAGAAATTAGTGTTTGTGGTGGGTTGAAGAAGTCGTTGATTAGTACAGCAGGAGTCTGGAAGCAATGGTGGATGGTCCAATCATTAAGTATGCTGAGTCAATTAAAAGGACTTTTTGGTCAAATTAAGTGGACCGGTCTTCTTTCTTGCAGGAGAAGATGAAGAACCGGTCCAAATAATTTCCTCAACTTTATACTGTTTTTACCTTCTTTTTTGTAACCGGGACAAGACTAATACTGTAAGTGTTTTTAATGTTTTTTTAGAATGGAATCAAAATATTGCCCTAATGTTTTCATCGATGTTTGGTGTGATTTTTTTTTTAAATATTAAAAATTTAAAACTGAATACAAAAATATACTTTTGTAGATGACACCATTTACGTGATCAAGGGTCCTTTCTATTAATTTGATGGAAGATATTATATTACTTTATTTAAAAAAATAAGACCCTGAAAGGAAATTGGACAAAAAATGAGATGAAAAGAATATTTAATCAAAGTGTTATAAGGATAAATATTGTTCTTTAAGTAAAGGAAAGTCATTATAGAGGTTCAAAGCAAACAAGACAAATCGTCTTTTATTACATCTTTTTTAACTTGTAGGCCAATCAAGATTCAAGATAAAATCATCGTTGGACCAAGCCCATACTACTTCAAAAAGAAGTCGGATTTCCTTCCTGCAACCCCCTTCTTTCTTTCTGTACCTCCATAAACTTATAACTTCCCAACTACCCCTACTTACCTCGTATTTTTTTTGGGATTGGGTGTTTTGAAAAGTATTTTTATTGGAAATATTTTTCGAAATATCCAATCTAAAATATGTGTTTTAGATATTTTAAAATGAATATTTTGAAAATATTTTTGGATCATAAACGTAATATTTCAATTTTAACAGCTTATTATTGATAAAACAAGGCCATATAAAATTGATAAAACAAAATGTATTTGTCTCAACTATAAATATTTATAAATATAGTATTAATATAATTATCTAGAAAAAAATAACTACCATTAATAAATATATTTAAAATAGTTAAAGATAACTAGTAAACAACTTACAAAACATTCTATAACATTACTTTTTTTTCACCAAAAATGCTTTAACATTTATCTCTCATCTCCTCACACCAATGAAGTGATCATTACAAAAAAAATAATAACACACTAAAAACAACAAAAGAAATAAGAAAATAAGCTTACACATAAAAAAAATTTCATAAATAATTTAATACATCAAATATTAGTTTAACATTTATAAAATTTTATAACTCATATTAACCTATAATTAATTGACTTTGAACTGTACTATTGATAAAGTTAACAAAATCAACTACTTTAATATTTCCACTACTATAACTTATTTAAACATTGAGATAATATTATTATTTAAGAAATATGTGTATTTTGGTTATTATTTAATAAGATAATAATAAAATTTATTTTAATCTTTCTATTTACAGGTAAAATTAGAATTCGTTTTTTCTAAAATTTTATATATTTCATTTTAAATTTTAATAATACATAAAATATATCTTCAAGAAAAAAAAATATATTTCTTTTTTTTAATTACATGTGGTTGTCAACCACGTGTTTTCACTTTTTAATAATGTTAACATAGACATTAGACACATTATTTAAAAGTTAACAGAATGTTAGTTTTGAAAAATGTATTGCATACATTATTATAATATAAAGATGAATTCCATTTTTGTACTAAAATATACTTAATTAAATAATTTTGAATTAGTTGCGAAAAAAATATATTTCTGAATCTAGAAATGTTTATTCCATAGTATTTAAAAAAAATAAAAAATCTTCCCAAGTGGGGAAAGCAGAAATGCATGAAATCCTGTGGGTGCTACCAATTGATAAAGTCAAACCTTTTCACGCTTTCTAGATAAAATGAGCATAAGATAGTAATATACACAAATNGTTTCAAGTTTCTCACCAATAATGTTAGCTCATCAGTCCAATTTAATATACTAATCATGATCTTATCCACCATCACATTACCAACATAAACATATTCAATATTAAAATAAAATCCGTAGTCAATGTTGGGTTGTGTTCTGTTTCTTTATGCTCTGCTTTCGTTTTTGTTTTCTTAACTAGGATTCTTCGTTTATTGAATGAGAGTGAGATTTCTGAGGGAAAGGATTTTTACCACATCCAATTCTTTCACAATTAAAATCAAAACTTAAAATAATTTAAATATTTATTTTTCTCATCCACTTAGTAAAAAATCGTGATAAATAAAATTTTAAATTAAATAATACTTTAAATTTACTAATATTTTAAATCTACGATGAGAAGCAGAAGAAAATAGAAAGAATGATATTATTATGTGCAAGTTGATAACACAAAATCTAGTAGAGTATTGCTTCCGTTACAAAGAGAACAGAGAATAAAGAATGTGGTATATACAGTTACATAAATTACAGAATCACAGACGACAGGACGACCAAAACCTTCATTAAAAATGTTACATATGCGTCAGAGGAAACCAAAACGGGAGCAATGTGATCAGCTAACCGCAACCGCAGCGGTGTCGGCGTTCATGAGGGAAAACCTAGTTGGCCTTGGTTGGAAACTCTTCCTCTTGTGAAGGTCGTGGCTGGAGGGCCTGAGCATTTGCAACAGAACAGCCTTCAAGGAGTTGGCTTTTGCAGCCATGGAAAGGTCCCAATGGTTAGGGGTCCGAGGCAAGGATCGAGCCATGGCTCGGGGTGGCTTCTTGTGCTTGGTGCAGCGGAAGGAGCCAGGGTGCGTGGAGGGTGAGCAGGAGCAGGTGCGCGTGATCTGGTTGGGGTGGGAATGTTGGGACCTTGACGATGATGATGATGATGTGAAGACAGTCTTTGATGCCATTGAAGAAAGGGAAGAAAAAAGAAAGAAAGTTAGGAATGGTTTTAAGGGCAGAGAAAGAGGGAGAGTGATTTATGGCCTTGTGTTTGGGTGGAGATTCTTCTCCTTCACCAGTTTTATAGGGCAACCACTCGCCTTGGAAGGACAATTCGGTCTTTCTCTCGACCTTCTCTTCTCATGCAACCATTCTTCCTCATCAATGTTTAAATCATATTACAAGGTTAAGGTGGTTGTAAATTACAACCTTATCAAATGTAATTACAACTATGGATATGTCTTCATCTCAAATCATTATGTAATGTTTTGTTACATAACAAAATATTATTAACAAGTTTCAATGTTCGGCCAACAGATTTCATTTCTCATATTTTTGGTACATAATTATTTTTATTATGTTTAAAGAATTAAAATTTAACGAGATATTATTTTTAATGGCTTATCGTGAAAGTTGCTGTTTTAAATAAATAAATAGTATATTGTATTGTATTGTATTACCTCATAATAAAATGTAGTTTATAAGAGAGATATTTTTGGAAGGAGAAATTAGTGTTTGTGGTGGGTTGAAGAAGTCGTTGATTAGTACAGCAGGAGTCTGGAAGCAATGGTGGATGGTCCAATCATTAAGTATGCTGAGTCAATTAAAAGGACTTTTTGGTCAAATTAAGTGGACCGGTCTTCTTTCTTGCAGGAGAAGATGAAGAACCGGTCCAAATAATTTCCTCAACTTTATACTGTTTTTACCTTCTTTTTTGTAACCGGGACAAGACTAATACTGTAAGTGTTTTTAATGTTTTTTTAGAATGGAATCAAAATATTGCCCTAATGTTTTCATCGATGTTTGGTGTGATTTTTTTTTTAAATATTAAAAATTTAAAACTGAATACAAAAATATACTTTTGTAGATGACACCATTTACGTGATCAAGGGTCCTTTCTATTAATTTGATGGAAGATATTATATTACTTTATTTAAAAAAATAAGACCCTGAAAGGAAATTGGACAAAAAATGAGATGAAAAGAATATTTAATCAAAGTGTTATAAGGATAAATATTGTTCTTTAAGTAAAGGAAAGTCATTATAGAGGTTCAAAGCAAACAAGACAAATCGTCTTTTATTACATCTTTTTTAACTTGTAGGCCAATCAAGATTCAAGATAAAATCATCGTTGGACCAAGCCCATACTACTTCAAAAAGAAGTCGGATTTCCTTCCTGCAACCCCCTTCTTTCTTTCTGTACCTCCATAAACTTATAACTTCCCAACTACCCCTACTTACCTCGTATTTTTTTTGGGATTGGGTGTTTTGAAAAGTATTTTTATTGGAAATATTTTTCGAAATATCCAATCTAAAATATGTGTTTTAGATATTTTAAAATGAATATTTTGAAAATATTTTTGGATCATAAACGTAATATTTCAATTTTAACAGCTTATTATTGATAAAACAAGGCCATATAAAATTGATAAAACAAAATGTATTTGTCTCAACTATAAATATTTATAAATATAGTATTAATATAATTATCTAGAAAAAAATAACTACCATTAATAAATATATTTAAAATAGTTAAAGATAACTAGTAAACAACTTACAAAACATTCTATAACATTACTTTTTTTTCACCAAAAATGCTTTAACATTTATCTCTCATCTCCTCACACCAATGAAGTGATCATTACAAAAAAAATAATAACACACTAAAAACAACAA